AAGCTCACCAAAGCGTGGCAACTGGCAAAGGCACTATTCCCAATGTGCTTCACTGAGTTCGGGATGGTGAAGCTCGCCAAAGAGGTGCAATCACCAAAGGCAAAATCCCCAATGCGCGTCACTGAGTTCGGGATGGTCAGGCTTGCCAAAGAGCGGCATTTAGCAAAGGCGCGATTCCCAATGTGCGTCACTGAGTCATGAATTGTCAATACTTGGAACTTGTTGCATCCTTCAAAGGCTTTCTCAGGAATATGACATTCCTTGTCAGGGATCACAACCAAAATGAGCCATAGTTCCGGGTCGATATCACCCTCAAAGCTGGCAAGGGCATCTTTGTTCGAGCAGCTCACAGTGTTTGGTTTGAAGACTGCATTCACGACCAAATCTGCTAGCCCTGCATCCGACACCTTCTCATCATTGCACAGCAACCTGTCTCCAACAACAATCTCCACTCTAGTAGTTGTTCGAGTGACCTCATCCCAAGGTTGCCCTTCTTTGATCAGCTTCTTAAGCTCTTTGCCTTTCATCTCCGGTGAAACTCTCAAGCAAATCATTTCGCCGGTGACTAGCAGTGCTGACAGTTTCAGCTTCATCGCCATGGCCAAACTGCGATGGATGTCAGCTACAATAACATGTGGACTTTGATAAGCTTGAGAAACATTGGTGTTCATCTCGCTAACTCGTCCACCAGGACCGAAACCAAGTCCGGTGCTTTGTGGATTCACCGACCTCTGTGGATGGTTGATAGACAGTCGTCCGGTTCCGGTCGGTCCTAACCAACGTGAGTCGTTCCGTTGAAGCGATCAATTTCTTCCACCGCAGCCGCTGCGCCACTGCCGCTGCGCCGGAACTGCTGGTCAGCAAAGTGTCCAGCTACCTGGACCTGACGGTCTTCACGGGGTGTCCTGGCTGGAGGTCCCTGATCGGTCTGTGGGCTGGGGCGGGCTTCCAGCCAGGTGACCCCGAGGTCCAGCCAGGTGCTGGTATGTGTGTCCTTTTCAGAAACCCTAGGGCTCCATGTACCCTCTGAGAAGGTGTGTGGGGTGGGTGCCAGGAGGGTACTAGACATACCTTCTGAGGGAAGTACCGCTCCTGATAGAGCTGCTTCGTCGGTAGTGAACGTGCCACCTTCATGGCACCTGGGCAGTGGCAAAGCCCGAAGAGCACCAGAAGTGGGTTGGAAGAAAAACATACAGCGGCATATGCGGCATAGACCCAGCAATGAACTCAAACGGATGCATATATCTTTTGCTTTTAGCCAATTCATTGAGAGGAACCCTATAGCTCTCGCTATCTGGAAAAAAAAAGAAGAACTCTTTTGTACCGGTGAAGTTCAGGAAAGATGCCTTACCTCCAGGGTACCTCCAAGAGAACCCCCTCCAAGCAGAGGGCAGCTGCAGAAGCTCCCTTCAGGTCTCCAATGGGCAAAAGAAACAGCAAGGCCATCGCCCAAGGCTGCATTCTTGCGATGGTTTCCAGCCGGTGACGTGACGTTTGTTGGGTCCGAAGGAAAGTCACGTCCAGAACCAACAGAGGTGGGTCATGACCCGGTCACGTTCCACGAACGACCAGTTGGGTATTTGAGTGAGGTCCTAGTTCAGGTCACGTTCACTACCTCTCTTGGAAGTTTCACTTCCGAGGCGCGGTTGTTGATGAGATGCCCATTGAACTTCTCGGCAGCCTCCGTCACCTGCTCAGGCGTCTGGAAGTCCACGTAGGCGTAGCCCTCGCGGCGCGGGTCAGGACGCGTGCGTATATAACTCGCTTTCCGCTGAGACAGGGGTTAGAGAGAACGCAGCATTCTTAAAGAGGCCAGGCAAGGGGAGCCACACTTTTCCAAAAGTTGTGCTATAGAGCGTGGGACCTCAAACACCTCTTTGCATTCTCAAGTCTACCCCGCTCACGTACTGCACGGTCGTCCCGGTTAGGGGGGGGCACCAAACCAAATGCAGCAGGCGCCTTGGACCTCTTCAAGAAGTCGCGGACCAAACGCACGTCCTTCAGACCGTCGATGTCCTGGGAGCGATCACCATGGCGAGACTCCGGACCATCCGACCGTCCATCCACTATTCCAACCATCCATCCATCCATCGACCCCTCCGCTTCGGTTCGATGCGACCGACAAAAACCGGTGGTGAACCGAGTTCCGCACCCGGGTCGACTGGGAGTCCCGTCGTTCGGCCAAGAAGGACATATGTGTTTGAGTCTCGGATGAGTTCGTTGATCCGAGTCGAACGGAATGTCCTGAACATTGGGTAGATGAAGTATTTATCTAGTATTTGGACTTCTACTAGTAGGGCTGGGCTTAACACTTGGGTGTGAAGAGGGCACGGAATACTTATATTTCCCAGAATATGAATCAGTATTTGGACATATTTGGACGTCTAGGGTAGATGAAGGGTTGGCAGAAGAAGGTTGCATTGGAAGATCTAGGCAATTATGTCTGGAGTCTGGAGTCTACCTGGACCTTCCGAACTCGGGGTGTCCTGGACCTGGAGATCCATCGAGATCCATCATAAGGTGTAGGGAATTGGATGGGGGTTCACCCCAAAGGTTCCGAAGGTACATCAATCCAGGGTGGTTTCTTGCGCGACCTTCGTCACGAGACCCACGGCCTGTCGAGACCCGCGACCTGAAAGACGCGGTAGAGCTGAGCTTCATCGACCTCGGGCCGCGGCACGACGAGAGCCGACCTCGACGTGGAGCGCGTCGCACACGACGTACTCGCGCGGCTTCGGTCACTGCGAGGCGTCGTCGGAAGGTCCCAACGGACGGCACCACGGCCGTGTCCCAAAAGCGTGCGTGAAGGCGGAAGGCATAGCACGTCCCAAAAACATGAAGGAGGCGTTGGCATGGCTCTTGTTGCAGTGACTTTGCCTATATCCGAATATCCTTAGATCCGCTGCTAAGAAGGATTTGACTCTTCGTCTTGGTCTTTCAGTAAATTCCCCACCAAAGGCGGACCGCAGTATGCCTCGTAGGATTCCAAAGACTTCCTGGACCTTCTTAGACAGGGGTGTCCTGGACAGGGAGATCTCAGATAGGTCTGTGGGCGGGGGCGGCTGCTGTTCGCCAGGTGACCCCCGAGGTCCAGCCAGGTGCTGCTTGCGTCCATGGTTCATACCCAAAACATCACCGGTCGCTCGGTTCCGACCGGTGCCGGTTCCGACTGCCGGAGGGTGGAAGGAGGAAGGAGAAAGGTGCCCCGTCACATCACATCCGCCCCTGGACGAACAACACCACCCTGGCCCTCCATGTGACTGGTCGCTTTCAGAAACCCCTTCGCTCCACCGCTCTGAAGAGCCGCCTTCCGCACCGGGCGACCGACGGTGGTGAAGGCGACCAGCTTTCGGCGGCTCTTCAGACCGGACGGGCGACCGGCGACCCGCGGTGGTTCGGCTGCGTCCCAGAGGCGGACCAATCGAGATTGGCCACGAAGACGGTGTGTTGCCTAGGAAAGGGATGCATGTGACCGTGCCAGCGACTGAAAAAGGTCTGAAATCTGAAAACTCTATCCCATACACGACCTATAGAATGGGACTGCCAGTCCGTTCTGCCGCCCCAGACAGACCCCCCTGGCACCACCCAACTGATCGGCACATACATGGAGCGTCTGGGTATATTTTACCATTCCGTACCTATACCAGGACCCGACCATGGCCCGGGGTGTCAATGTTCATAGCCTCTAAGATAGAGGTGATTCAAGGGTGTTTTTTCTAAGAACCACCGGGTTCTTAAGGAAGGTGGTTTTTGGTACTACCACGAGTTTCGGCGTTTCACCGACTTCTCGGTACCCCTAGGCTTCCAACAACCATGAATTTAATAGGCTTTATGGAATCGACTAAGGATTTTACACTACAAAAACCAGGTCGTTCCCATGTTTTAAATGGTCGAACGGAAGTCTAGGGTACATGTCAGCATCACCCAATATTGGATCTTCCCACTGTGGCGAGTTTCTGCCTTTTCATCCATGCGACCGGTCCCCCCAAAGGCGCGGCACGTCGTTGGAAGATCCAGCGATGGTTTTTATCTGAATCCTTATTCTAAAGGATCAGCCTTTGGGGAGAGGCTCCGGAAGCCATGTATCTGAAAGACAGCCTGGATCCACCTTGACACCAGCCAAGTTGCCCTTCCTCCTCCAGCTTCAAGTCTTGCGCCTTCTCGGCCAAGCGCCGCTGGTGGTAGTGCGAGCCTACACCGGCACCGCGGCGCAGGGAGCAGAAGAGGCTCGAAGATGCCGCATAGGGTGGGTGGGATCAGAATTCAGATGGTATGCTACGGCATGAACCATGATGTGGTTTGTGAGCGTTTGTTGTTGCTGAATCAACTTTGATAGTTCTGGCATGTTTCTGGCCTGTTTCCTCCCATCCTTTCGGGACTCATTTGGAGATACCTTTCGCATGTGCTTGAATCTCTCAAGATTCACGTTGATCCAAGGCACCTTTGTGTGGTTGAGCTACCTCCTCCGCGTCCTCTGCCTCCTCCACCTCCATTGACTTGTGCTCCTGGGCTTCAAGAACAGCACCACAGCTTGGGCAGCAACCTTGACCGAAACATGGCCTGGTGTTTAATGGCTTACATGCATGAAACTGGTGGCATTTCCAGATTCGATACGAATCTTCGGGAGTGTACAAGAGCAAAGCAACTGACGCTTACCAAGGTGTACTTGTCCTCTTCCACAGGAGTCCAACTCCGGGTTCTCCCAAGCTAAACACAAAAATAGAAACCTCAGCTATATAATATGTATGGCAGTCTGGCATGTTCCTTCACGTCGTTTGATCGAAGAGTTGTGAGTCACCGGGTTTTGCCAGGGCGTTGTGCCTTGAGACAGCACAGTCCTGCCACATGCACCATACATGAGTGGTCACCATGTCCATTCGACAAGAAGAAAATTTTCAGGGCCGCACCCAAACACCCACGCTTCCCGGACCCTTCGAAGGTCTTGGGCGGGCCTTCGGTCCCGAAGACGAACCTTCGGTCCCAAAGAAAACTGCCTCCCCTAACAAACCATGGAAGCTTTGCCGATCGGTCGGGGTGACCCTTCAGATGCCGGTGTCAAGGTGCCGGGACCTGACACTGTTGGAGGGTGTCTCTAGATAGCCTCGCAAAAGAGGCCGAGAGGTGATATCATACGGGGTGTGCCCGAAAACCCACCGAACTTCGTTTTTTCGGTCGAGATATAGATATATATAGATATTGTATATGGTTCATCTTTCATACATGGTCTGAGCTCTTGGAGGGTGCTGGAGTCTTTGGCTCTTCACCCGCGGCCGTCCTCGCTCGCCGCTGCCGCGGCGTCCTCGCTTGCCGCGGGCTCGGTCGGCTCGGTCGGTGGCTCCTGGGGCGGGACGGTTCAAGCACCACCAGACGTGGTGTGGTCCAGTACCAAGAGAGGTGGATAGTGACCAGGTCACTAGGACCTTACTGGGGTACCGAACTACGTAGGACAGTCGGCGAACGTTCGGGTCCGCTCCCCACCTCTGTTGGTATGGCACCCGGAAGGTCCAACGTTGTCCGTTCGACTCCCGCTGCATCTTCACCGATCTCCCACTCGTTTCACGTCTTGTTGCGTTTCACAGTCTCATAGAGTCCCCCAAATGTCACATAATATGGAGGGTTTTCCCAGTTCCAGCCACTTTCGTGAAGGATCTCAAATGATCTCGTTCGATATCTTAAGCTGGCGCTCTGCCTCGGGTTCCACTACCATTGATGTTCTGCCTTCGAGCTTTCCAGGGTGGTTCTCTTCACCTCGCTGTAATGGCTCGCTTGGTCGGCGTTCACGCTGGTGAACAGGTTCACCCTAGAAACCACCCATTGGCCTCCCGACCAGGACCGAGCTTCCAAGGTCCGGTGGTTGGAAGGACACCCCGGTCATCACCACTAAGACACTAAGAGGCTATATTTATAGACACCTCGAGATCAGTGTCGGTCCTGGTAGAAGCCCCAGGAAGCGACGATGTTCGGCACCGGTCAGCCAGTGGTGTTCAGACTGGTTCCTGTTCACATCCACTCCACTCGGATCACCGTTGGTATCCGTTGGTATCCGTTGGTATCCGTTGGTATCCGTTGGTTATGGTCGACTCCTGAAGCGAAACCAGGGAATACGAAACCAGATTTGGGGTGTTCTTTCGGTACGTACCTGGAGCGAGCTGATCCTGTTTCAGGGGTTTCCAGAGCCTTCTTACTACAGGTCTTCTGAAAACCCAGGGTGAAACGAAGGTTCTGGAAGGGCTTCTGACATGTTCGGACCGGTTCACTTCCACCAGTCCACAGGTACTGGGAATGAGGGAAGTTTCACTCACTCACTCACCACCCTTGTGGGGGGGAGACCTCCGGATCCAGCCACCCCTGACGTCCGAAAGCGAACTTCGCACAGGTCAGTGGTCTTGGGAAACAACCCACCCATGGAAGTCTTCAACTGAGAACAGCCTCCTCCAGCTCCTCAATCAAAAACAAACAAAAAAAGGAGCCCAACATCCTTAGGGATCCCCGTTGCGGCCCGAAACAGGTACAACCACCAAAGAAACGACCAATTAGAACACATCCCGCATCCCCAAAGAGGAACGCTCTCCTCCACGGCTGGCTGTGGCTTCTCCACCGCCGTGTCTTCCGCAGTCCCGTCTTGTGCGGCCGGTCCTGGGTCGTCTGGAGCCCAATTCCCCTATTTCCAGGCCATGGAATGAAGACATCCAACCCCAAAAAATCGGAGCTTCCGAACGAGAGTGTGTGAGTGTGTGGATCTAAGTGTGTCTATCCAGCCAGAATCAGGGTCTTGAAAGAGTCTTGAAAAAGGGCCTCCGCCTAGCACTTCCTGTTCAGGTGCCCTGTCTGGAGACCTGTTTAAGTAGGGTGGGGTAGTCTAGCCGCCTAGCCAGGGCACACAGACAGGATGATCCTGGAGGGTACTTGAATTCATGAGGATGAAGGAACTCCCTGATACTCCTCGCCTGACAGGACCTTTGGGACACCCCCACATCGCCTCTGAAAACGAGGCGAACTGTACATCGCAGCGCCTGACATGTATAGATACATAGATCTTCAGTCCGGCACTTTTACAGGGTCCGGCGCCGGACTTCCAACTCCGGCGTTTTTCTGGATTTGGTCCGGCGCTTTTTCCAAGCACTTTATGTGGATTCTCAAGGCTTTGCATTCTTTGTGGTTTGCATTTCTTTGAAGGTAAACCCACTACTGATGCAATGATTTTGTTTGCAAAGTGTGCTCGTTTGCCTGTTCCGCTGTTTTCTCATTCCATAGGTTTCAGCATGGTTCACACTGGATCAATCAGATCCGTTTATATAGATCGTTTAGGTATGTTTAGGTGATCTTCTAAATGAAATCGGATGAAGCCGGTACAGTGCGATGCACCTGTTGAAAGACCCAAGTGGGCGTACCTAAGCTGAAAGAGCATAGGCAAAAATGTACTCCCATTGTTTCAGGATGTCGGGGCGCTGGGATATAGATTCTAGCTGCGCAGGTTTGCAGAGCCTGCCGGACAAGTTTTGGGCTGTGCTGTGGAACATGTGTTGTTCTGAATCTCAATGTTTGGCAGAGAGTTGTCAAAAAATGGCACGTCGTAACTCCGGCGTAGTTTCCCGTAACTCCGGCGTAATTTCCCGTAACTCCGGCGTAATTTCCCGTAACTCCGACGGTTTCTTTTGACTGAGTCTTCTGCAGGCTTTGGCTTTGACTTTGAAAAGTTTTTCAAAGAAGAGTTTTGACAGGAGCCATGAGTTCTGCTACTTTATTGGGGGGCCGTCCTGAGGCAAGCTTTAAAGAAACATTAAGAAGCATAAGAATCATGGAGAGCAACCCATGCACTTTGTAAAAAAACACTTTAGAGACACGGTTGCAGAGAAAGATGAGTTCATTGCCACATGCTCCTTGGTTTCTTCTTGGAAGCCTTTGCTTGGGCACAAGTTGCTTATATTTTGTGATGGTTCTGCTCTTAGGCCATTCGGAAGATGGGCGAGGGCAATGGGAACGGGAAGGTTCGAGTGTGCTCCAGAAAAACTACTCGCGGCGCAAAGGCAATTTCCTTGTGTATGATCCAACCTTTTATCATCTCTGTTTTTCAGAATCTTGGATCCGGATGTTTTTTCAGGTCTCCGGCGTTTTTTTCGGAATCCGGCGGAAAATTTTGCCGGATTGAGGTCCGGCACTTTTTTCCGCCCAAAGGAGGATCCAGGTGGGTCACACTTGGTGAGACCTACGGATCTGTTCCCTTCCCTTTGGCCTCTTTGCTCCAAGGCCGGGTCCTGGAGGGTCCTGGTAGTCTGGTAAATATGAAAGACATGTACCAGTGGCCCATCTCGTGTTCCCATGAAAAATAGTGGTGTTCACATGAAACCCCAGGTTTTTGATGGGTTCTTTGTGGGGGGGCCCCCTCTTTGAGTGAGACTGGCTGTGAGGAAGATCTGCGACTTCTGGTGGTGGATGATCTCGTGTGGTCATTTTCCGGCCGACGCGTCGCGCGAAGATGCGATGGTATCGCTCGGTACGCGCCGGTCGCGTTTTCATGCTGTCGATGGAAGTGTTTCCGCCGTCTGTCACGGTACCCGACTGAGATTTGAAGGAGTTTGGGCCTTAGAAAAGACGGTCATCCCTTCAAATAGTTAGGTCGATGACATGTCCTCATAAGAGTGCATTTTGATGTGTTTTTTCTATTTTGGGGGCGGTATATCTGGATGTTCACGTGGCACACAGGATCATAAGAGTGCTTTTGGGATGATGAGAACTCGATATAATTAATCAAACCACACCCACATGCACATACCAGGACCCTCCAACAGGTCACCACCTGCGACTTTTAGGTCTCCAAAAGCCACCAGAGGAGACCTGTTGGAGGGTGCTGGTACTTGATCCAAATTCACCTGCTCAGGAACACCTTTTCAGGCCTCTGAGTCAGCTATCAAAAATCCAAAAACCCCAAAACCTATAAGTAGGTATATACCCAGTAAGATCCATTTACAAGTTCTTCAACAGACCCTTTTTCTTCGAGAACAAGCTCATCAGCTCATCAGCTCTTGGTGAACACCATCGGCACTTCCCACCACCTTCAGCCGAAGGTGCCGCCTTCGGCCGCAGTCGCGGCGTCGGCCGGAGGCGCCTTGGGATCAAGCGGGGATGAACAAAGGCCGGAGGCTCGACTGGGCAGGGCCCCAAGAAAAGGCTTCAAAACCAGGGCCCCCGGGCCATGGATACCCCTTCTATCACCTCTTTCAGGAGCTAGAATTAGACAGCCAGTTTTTTAAGAGGCGAATGTCCGGGAGGTTTCGAGGTTCCGAAAGTTCCACTGTGAAAAGCCCATGACGTCTTCGAATGATGAGGCCTGTTCACCGTGCCTAAAGATCACCCCGCGAATGTTGGTCAGACTGTTCGGCAGCTGCGCAACGATTGGAGATGTTGTGTGACAAGGGGCTTGGAAGTTATTATGAAGAAGCAATGGAACAAACGAGTAACAGGAACTGGAACAGGATAACCACAAGGAAAGGGAACAGGGAATAAGAAAGAAGAGGAGGTTCATACTCGCGATATTTATAGGCCCATCCATCACCAGTTTAAGAGCACGCAAAAAGAACACTAGAAACGGGATAACCCTGACTTCAGAATGGGACATCCAATTGTCTAGTCCGCGCAGTGGTGTCGGTGTGTTACCCGTAACCCTTCCCAGTGATTCCGCCTCTGGCTCGGTCTTCTGCCGCTTTTCCTCGGCGAAGAGTTCACAGAAACGACGAGTGAAACTGCTGTGAAGACGTCGACGGTCATGGCTGGCGCCTTCACCGGGGCCCTGAAACAGCTTTCTTCCGAAGGGAAGCCAAAGAAACCCTCTGACTCACTAACATGGAAGTGGAAAATGGTCCTTTGGAAGACTTTCCTCTAACACCAACCAACAAGGGGTTTTCCACTTTGATGTGATGTGTTCGTCAGAGTGTAAAGCATGGCACCAATTCCACCCTCCAACGCGTGATACCCGGTCGCTCTGGTTCATTTGCTTGTCCTTCTTCTGTCGATTCTGCCATCGAAAACGGAGGGGGCGGGGAGCTCGAAGGGTTCAAGTAAGTTTGTGTGATACCCGGACCCGACTCTACAGGTCTCCGACGTAGCTGAAACGCAGACTGAAAAACGTCGCAGGCGGTGACCTGGCACGGTCGTAGGTGCTGGGTGCTGGGTGCTCGTATGTCACCGGCGGGTCACCCAGCTGGCGGGTCACATCCTTTGGCTTCAGCGGTGCGAACCCTCGAACCCTGGAAGAAAACCACTGGGTTGTAGAGGAAAATCGTCTTCCAGCCTGGTCCATGTTCAGGTTCCAGGTTCATTTTCCCTGGAATCTCCGAGGATTTGGTCGGCAGGTCGCCCTGCTTTCATCCGGTCGATCCTGTTTACAATGGTCGACCTGCTTTCGTCCTGACCCATGACCCGTGAGTCCGAACCGGCCATGTCCCGAAGACCTGGACGTCCCGGCAAGTGCGTCCCGAAGACTGGAGTCTTTCGTCCTGGACTTAGGATGAGACTTTGGAGGTCTCAAGATGAGGCTTTCCTAGGAGGTGGCAGACTTTCTTAGGATGAGACTTGCCATTGAAGTCTTCATGGTGGTCTTGTAACCAAGACTTCAACGCCTCTCATCTCTCGAAAGAAGATGGCAGTGCGCCAGGTCCGCCAGGCGTCTTGCTGTTGGGACCGGAACGCTTTGCGCTTCGCCGGCTCCTGCGGACTCGACTTCCCGTGGCCCCGGAGTGTTCCAACACGACTTCACCTAACATCTACCAGCTGCTTCCAAGGGTCACCAATGGATATCTCCACACTACAGGTCTCCATTGGGCACCCTAGCTTGAAGGAATCCTCCCTGGTGACTTGTCCGTGATCTATTGTGGAATTGTGTGTCCGGGTCGTTTCAGGATATATATACCTTCGGAATCATTTACCTTTTTTTTTTTGGGTAGAAGAAAAAAACCTAGTTTTTTTAAAAATAGTTGGGTTTTAGGTTTTTGCTCATGATCACCCTAAGATACTAAAGGCAAAAGAAGGTAAAGGATTCCCATCATGCAGCCACAGAACCAACATCAACAATCATTCCAACCAACATGAACCTCACGCACATGACCCAAGCTCCACTGCTCCCCCCAGGCCCTCCACCTTTCTCTACACCAACAGCCCAGCGTTCGAATGGGCTGAGTGTGCCGCCACCAAATAGCGGTCCAATGCCCTCTGAGAAACAAGGCGAATGTTTACTCGCCTGCTTAGTCTCGAAGATCTGCCAACAACATCCTCGTCAATCTGGCAAGCCCATAACATGGGGCTGAGTGCAACTTTCGCTGACCTGGCCTGATTTGCAATGTCCAGCATTAGGTGATGAAACATGTGGAGTTTTGGGTAGAGCGGAAACATCCATTGCTTTCCATCTCTGAAGAGTGCGGCTGCCAAGCCACTGTAGCACGCCAAAAACTCCAGGCCCTGTTGAGAGACAAAGGTAGCTTCATGTTCGGAGAGGAAGGCACCAGACCGGTACAAAATGCTAAACATAGAGTTCATGCGATATGAAGCTTGACGGCACTTCATCAACAAACCCTGGGCATCTGCCGGCACTTTGCCCAACAAGTCAACCAACCACTGCATGAGGTTAGTCGTGAGAGCGCCTTTGTGCCAATTGCCCATCGCTCCGCTCGAATCATTGTAACTCATCAAGTAAGGCGTGATTCTGCTGATGTGAGCCTGCTTTTTGTTTGTATTGCACCAACCAAGATATTCTGAAGTCAGAAATTCCCACTTTTCCTCAAGGTTCTGAAGCGGCAACACTGGAAGGACAAGCTGAACGACACTGGCCACCCAACTCCGACCAAAACCCAAGTGGAATACATGCCAAATATCTGTCTTGAAAAATGAAGCTGGGTCACCAGGGTCATGAATCAGGTGACGTATAAATGCAGGACGCTTTAACCATGGGAGCTTCACCGCAACAGTCTCCAGCCACCTCGGCTTTGAAGTATCGACTTGTTCTGCCGGATATCCAGGTGTTCCTGCCAAGCAATACGGGCATACCCCCTTTGGGGGTCCTCGCTCCTGGCCACGCTTAGCCGTGGTGTTGTAGCTACGATAGAAGTGAGCCGCCTTGCTGAGATATGGGGCATCCCCCTTCACGCCCAGAAGCACTATCCGGAACCTGTGGCCCCTGTCGTCAACATATCCCTCCTCTAGGCACTTGCTAAGGGACCTGGCAACGTGATCCAACATTGCATAAAAAACATTCGACTCAGTCTCGTAAGATGTCTTGGGCATAGTGTTCACAACATACCGTGTGGTGAAGGAGTGCCCTGCGAAGTTAACCCTCAAAAGAGCAGTGTCAGATCTTTGCCCGCGAACTCGTTTTTCATCATAACCTCGCCCAAGCGCACTTTGCAACGAAGTCACCATCAGACCACCTTTTTTGAGGGTCCTACCCTCATCACCATGCACCAACATGGCTGCTGTTCTGCCAAGGTCAATGTCCACCATCTCGAAAAGTTCAAAATTTGGGTTAAGTTTCTCGTAAACTCGCCAAAACTCTGTCCAATTTCGATCAGACCCATCCCAGTCATGAAGGTCACACCCAGCCATCAATGGCCAAAGGCCCTTTTTCACCACAAACTCAAGCCACGTTTCCGGAGAGATCCAAGGAACATAAACTCCATTGCAATTAATGGTTTGGATTTGTATGTCTAACTTGGTCTTCTGCCTTTTCATAACCTTGTGAGCATCCCTTTCAGAATTCCGAAGGTGGCATGTTGCCCAAGAGTTGACTCCACTAGAGGCTGCTCTGCTCTCTCCCATGTCTGACGCCACAGCTTGCGCCGTCAGGATCTGGCTGACACAGCTGGCCTCGGCGGGCCCCAACACCAGATTCAAGAACCAGAGGTTTAGAACATACAACAGATGAAAGGATGAATGGCATTGCAGTTCCAATAGGCCCCAATAGTTTCACTCAAGTAACACCAACCAAACAAAAACTGCATGTCTTTGAGGAAGGGATATCCGCGCACACATAGCACACAACCGCGGCACAGTTTTGAACCACTGCATCAGCACCAAATGAGCGCTGCCAAATTGTCTAACCCTGGCTTTTGCAACCAGAATCAATTAGGAAAGCATTCACGCCAAACAAAAATTGCACAAACGAGTCTCAAAGGTTATATACCTATTGAATTTCCGCGCTCAAGGTTGGCACTCCCGGGCTTCTCACCTGCATGCTTGGCCTTTTGTACGACATGTAGACGACGTATGTCAAGTATGGTCCAGAATCAATGTCCCTTAAAGAGTCACCACCACGAAGCTCGTTTTTGCATCCTTGAACACCTAAGTTGATAGCATCAGTGCCACTCGGAAAATGTAACATATGGAGATACATACTTTATCACACTATCACAAAGCTGTTCAGGGAGGAAACCAAAACAGAAAACCTTCATGACACACAAGCAGAGCACTTCCATACTTCTCAATTAGCGCAGCTTCTAGGAAAGCTGGTCCATGTGGGTTGGACGCACCAAAGAGGACTAGCATGTGCTCGAATTTGTCCTTGGAGTGCTTGTATCCAAATTTAGGATTCCACCACCTGACATGCGCATCGTGTGTTATACCGAACTTGAAGGTCATGGGTTTGAACTTCTCTAGCAATCGTTCGAAGACCTGGACACAATGTCGCAAGACTGCACCAGCGGTTGCTTTGGGCTTTGGAAGGTTCATCGAAAGATAGGGATCTACCTCAATCTTTCTGAAGACATCCTGCGAGCGGGACAATCCAGCTAGATCCTCATGTTGTAGATAGCAATCCTTCCACATCACTTCGGAATTGCCATGCCCCCCAAGACAAGGACAAGCACGAACATGTTTGGTACTCTCCAGCGGCAAGTAGTTCGGGGCTGTGTCCACAGCAGGGTGCGTGATTCTCAACTTCTTAACTCTGTTGTGCTGCCACGCATATGGCACAATGGAATCCTCAGAAAAAACAAAAACAAGGCCAGAAACACCATAGGTCACAAAGCATTCATGTTAGCTTGCAAGCTCATTGTTTAGACAAAGGACTGGTCGATGGCAGCTCAATAGCTCAACAAGTTCATCGTCAGAGGATTCCATGGCACAGGTTGCAGGTCTTACAACTGGTGAAGTTGCACTGGGTGTCCATAGTGAAAAGTAAATGTTTATACTATGACTATATGCCATGCTGTATTCTTTCAGCAACCTCCCTCCGGGAGGAAAGGTGGAGCACGGACATGCTGTGGGCAGAGGGCCAACTCTTCACACTTCCAACCATGCACAGACCCATACAAGAAAATACTTCCCACACGATGTGGCCACTTTCAGTTTCCCCTGAGCTCATGGCTCCCTCGCCGATGTTCACTGCCAAGCGCTTCGCAGTGTGGCCAATGCGACCTGGCTTTCACACAGTGGTAGCACCGCAGAAGGAGGCATGATTTCACACACGTGATGTGTATGAAATCATGCCTCAGGGGTTTCTTGGTAGAGGTGCCATAGAAGGGTCAGTAGAGTGTCTCTTGAAAGTGCAACTCAAAAACCTGCCCCGCAAACACGCACCTTTTGATTTCACTCAAATCCCTATTGCCCCGACATCTTTGGCGCAATGGCCCTGCATGACCCCGTCTCCATTCATGGCATGTATATATCCGAACACACACAGTATAGTGGTCATGTTTTCTTCGTTGTTGGGTAACTTTGATGGGTACAGAATCCAACAGTTTCCAAATACAAATCTTGAAGCCTATAGAAGATCAATCACACTATGGTTGGGAGTCCAGGCAGGAAGCACCAACATACTCGCAGTTAGTCTATATTGAATTTGGGTTGCATCTTCAAAGTGCAATCCTTTGGAATGCCACTGACTTCTAGCAATGGCAGCTCAAGCCCAGTCAACTCTGAAAAAAGTTGACCAACCCAAAAAGACTGATGGCATGATGTCATCACGACTGAGGTTCCTCAGACTTGACATCATCCTTCTTCTGAAAGTGCCGCTTGGCAGTCCTGGGGCGAAGCAGACACGAACTCGGTGAGGCGTCTTTGAAATCATGGTTTTGGGTTGCGCGAGATAAAAGACTCTGACATATTTTAAGATTCCCACCGGATCTTTGCCTCATTCTGGGCGATTTTGGTGCACCTGGGCCCAGCCATGGAAGAGAAGAAGTATAGTTGTGCAGAAAATTGACCCAAATAGAAGCCATTGCGCACTAGTGCCACTCAGGTACACAAAGGTAGACGCTTTCATAATTTTCTCAGCTTCCTGTCCCCACCTTGGATTGGTCACAGTGAAAGCTGGGAGGGATCGTGGTTCCACAAGAATAACTACCGCATGTGCTGGTAAGCTGCGCAGCATCATGGCTATCCCTCTCCCCCTGCGCCACGTGATCGGACAGCTTGTTGTACTCTGCGTCCAAGGTTTGCAGGTCTTTGTTCAGCGTCACCGCTGCCCTGATTGGTCAGGCAGATCTCGGGGGCAATCTCAAGTTTACAGTAGAAGGGGGTGGGTAAAGAAAATGAAACACCAGAATCAGCACGCAGTCTAATACCGATTGAGATGAGGAGCAGTTTCGCCGTCCCATCATTGGGATAGTTCTTTTGCAAATCCCCAATCAGGGACCTGATCTTGGCGCACTTGCTCAAGACGGAGTCAACATATTTCATGAAGACATCCTTGGACCTGTTGGCCTGGCCAGAAGGGAGCCAAGTGTGATTTAGTTGGTTTAGCACAAAGACAGCAAACATTTTGATCGGTTGCACTGCATCCTGCATTATTTGAATCCATGCACCCTGCCTCACTGGTTTGACTGACAGCTGCACTTTGCAAAGCCTTTGCACGGTCAGCATTGGCCTCAAGACGGCCTTGAGAAACAGTGCCAAAGTCAGATGGGCCTTGATCCTGGCAGGAGGTAAATACACCCACCTCAAGTGCATAACAACACCTGGTAGCGAAGAAAAACATCAAATGATCTCCTCCTGAATCTCCTCCCGCTGTTCAGTGTTGATCTTCTCTTGCTGGATGTTGGCAGTTTCACGGACTTGAATATAGTATTCATCATCACCCCCATATTTGCAGTGCCTGGAAAGGCCCAAAGAACCAACCAACAGGTTTTAGGGATAGACTGGAGGATGCGACAGGCACTATAGCACTATTGCCAGACACTTTAATTCAAGTATCTTCAAGTGACAGTGTGGGCAAAAACACTGCACCCCATCTTGTGAAACCTGTGACTCCCACGGCCTCACCAAGTTGGCTGAATCCGACTCGCAGCATTTGATTGCGCCCGCAATCTTTTTCCTTGGATGATTGCACGGGAGACTGAACAATCAAATTGCAGTATCCCATACTGAGGTTGAGTGGACAAGATTTCAACCATGATTCGCACTCCATTTCAAGACTTTGGACATATCTTCTTTGGAATACCATCCCACAGATAAATCACTGAGTTCCTTCTCATTCTTGGTCATGATCCTCTTCTTAAGTTTGATGAAGCGGTCCTTCAAGGATAGGATCTACACGCGCGAGGTGGCTCTATGGGATTGACTTCATGCATCAACATCACACTTTGCAAAGAAGGTGCCTTCTCAAAGTTGCAGGACTGGAATTGGCGGGCCATTTGGAGGTGATCACATGTACGCCATTGATCATGAAGCCATTGGGGCACCTTCAAGGTACCATCTGCCTTTGGCTCCATAAGTCGACGAAGTTTGGCTTTGATAGCATTGTCCTCCTTAACAATGGTTTGCATTCTGGTGGTGGCATATCGGCTACCATGAAACATTTGGTAATTTGTTTGTAGGTTTCTGAAGGTATGAATTTCATGACACACACAGATTAAGATTTAGTTGAGTATCCTTTTTTGCCTTCTTCGCTTCACTGATGAGTTGGTCAATTTCATCCTCTTCACCCTCACCCGCCATACACTCGGCTGAAGTCCTTTTGTGGGAAGAATTCCCTCCTAGCTCACCCACAGCAGGTGTGACAGGTGTAGTGGGTACAGCATGTGCCTGAGAAGCGGTCGCCCCTGAACCCAGGAGCTGCATCGCAACTGCAACATCAAGCTCACCCTTCTGAACTTTCTCAAGGATGCGGAGCCTCACCTTATTAGAGCTGGGTGTAAGATGGAGGCTCCATTTTGGGGGCGAGTGGCTGAAACACAAGACAAAACACCAGAAACACCCGTCAAACCAAACAGAGTTAACTTACTCAAAGGCTCATCATCACTAGTGGCCGTGACGGCTGCATCAGCTGGTAAAGATGGTTGAGGGGATGCAGGGCTTGCCATTGAAGCAGGGGTACCAGTCAATTCCTTCTCAACCAAAGGGGTCCCACCCAGTGAAGCTGCAACCTGCGAGTCTGTTGCCGGCAGCGTCTCGTCCCCATGAACTGGCATTGCTGGCGGCGGGGCATGTTGAGGCGAAGCCTCACACAACACCAATGAAAAGTGGGAACTCAATACAATATAGAATGGTGTATGGTCTGCCTTGGACATATACTGTATACAATTTGTGACTGTCTCTCCACAGCTTGACCAAACTGAAGGTGTTCATGTTGCTACTACATGCAGTCTAGAAACCTGAGATTGCATAGCGCCCAGCTCAGCCAAGGCCTGCTCCTCAGGACATCCACAGGAGACAATCCCATCCTTGCCAACATCATGTTTCTTGGATCAAGGGCATGGCGTGGTTGGTTGATGGGATTACAGGGCAGCATTGCACACACCGTTTTCAATGATCAAAGACATCAAAAGAACCCCCCGAAAGGGTTGGCGGGTTTCATGACACCACCAATGAATCTAGAAGCTTGGGCCCCTGACGGAAGATGCTGCAGCTTCCAAATCTGCTAGCTCTTTCTCCAGCTCCTGCGTCGGCAGCTGGCCGGTGAAAAAGAGCATCATACCTAAAGGGGGGGAGAACAAATTATGTAGATACACAATCATGTCTGCACGGTACTTGGCAGACGCAGTGATGAAAGAGTTGGTCACAAGCCACAAGTGTTGTTTGACTGTAATCTCCTCAAGCTTTTCCAAATCATCAGGAAGATTTTCTTTCAGGTCATCCAGGATATGGTCAAGGCCACGGCCAATCTCACTCGAAGAGATTGCTTTGGACAGCATGGTCTCAGCAGTCTCCCTCCGAAGAAACGCCATCCTCCAACCCTGAAACGTTTGGTTTGCGATCGCACCTACAGCCAAAGAGCACCCTGCGCCAAGAAGCAAAGACTCTAAAGGCATGCCTGCAAGACCATTTTCACAGGCGGGGCATGAATGGTAATGCACAGCCAAAGGTCAAAACATGTGGACCAGCAACTTTTTACCACTACGCTGACCAACCATGCTTCGGTGTGAAAACACACCAAAGAATTGAGATTGCAAGTTCTTTCAAATTGCCTTTAATTGGCAAGCAGCGTGTTGCCAAAAGTTCAGCCCCAAACGCTTGAAGTGCGACAGGAACCAACTAAGAGCCCATTAAAAGCTAATAAAACCTAAGTTGAACTTCAACAGAAAATAGATAACTATTTCCAAAAAATACCCATAATTAATTATGGGTATTTTACGGAAAATTATGGGTATATTACGGTTTGATTACGGGTTACGGATTACGCTTTGCAAATTATGGGTATTTTTGTCATATGGATATGGTTTTTTGATGGCAAATTATGGGTTATTATGAAGTAAAACAAAAAATAGATATGTTTTTTATAGATATCATCAGTATTTAGTCTACTATTTTTGCCACCTGACTACGGTTTCACGATGGAATGTTACGCTAATTACGGATTACGGGAAATTACGGGTAAAAAATGAACAACTGGTGTTTGGAAGTGGTTCGGAATGTCTTGGACCTCCAGATAGACTATATGAACCAACAGGGGCCGAACAGCAACAGCTTTAAGCAGTTGATGGACCGAAGCTCTTTATAGCTTCCTCGGCAAAAGACCCCAAAAGTTGGGAGGAATCTTCAAGTGGACCCCTGCCCTCAAATAGCGACAGACCGACACCATTCCGGCTTCGGTCCAAACATCATCAAACTCCATGGACGAGAAGGTTTCCTCAGCCGGTGGAACCGGGGAGGGCAGCTCAGGCATTCCTGACTTATCGGTGATCAGGTCATGGAACATCTCAACAAGCTTCAGGCCAAATCTTGGTGGATAGCACCTTAGGTCAACTGCAGTGCCCCAGCCCCATAGTGTCCCTGGAACTTTGTTTGGTCTTGACTCTTAGCAGTTACTGTGTTTGGTTGACATCAGGCTTTCTGCAAGTAAGGCCTCCGTACAAAAATGAAAGAATGAGAAGCTTAACACAGGTTGAATTCAAAACAATATTCCATCAAGACTCATTGTCAAAACAAAATTAAGACCCACACTCACTGCTACGTAGCTGAGGACTGCCTTTCCATCTCTGTCGTCCATTGGAGTCTTTATATTTGATGACCAAGTCTTGGGCTTTCCCCTGTTGCTTGAGGACCTCTTTTTTCTTGGACCAATTCTGAAGCCGACCCTGGTAAATCTTGGACACATGGTGCGAATTGCAGAATGCATACAAAGGTTTCGGTGTGGGTGCTCCATAGTGCACCATCCACCAGGAGACTTTGTGTACCTAGGCAACCGGCATGAGAAACCCAGAGGCAAGGCAATGCTCAATCCCTCGCATTGCATGAAAAACAATTTAGGAAAACTAGCCTAAAGCCATCACTACAAATCAACACCCATAGGAAGGTTTATACACTAGATCTTCTTTACACCCACGCTCTCGCAGCATTCCTGTTTCTTCCATCAAACATCCCGCCCGCTCAACTGATGTTACAAGACTTTGTGGGGCCAGTGCTTCTTCAAGCCCAATTTGGTGCGTATCTTTGCTGAAATTTGAAGGGGGAGCTGAATACTAATCGAGTAACAGCAGATCGTCCACCATGTTTCGTCAGCATCCCAATGAAATCACGGAACCGAGGGTAATACTCAAAGAAAGATTTCTGTGGCTGCTCCAGCAGTATGGTGCCATTGAGACATACCGCCACCATCATCAACAGTATCATCCTGAGCTCTTAGCTGAGTGGATATGGACAAGATTACATCGAACCCCAAACATGAAGTCGTGATCCAAAAGTAAAGGATCGCAATATATCACACATGTTGAAGCCAACAGCAATGCATTCAAGATTCCGGCTGCCTAAACAATTCCCATCACAAACAGATTTATACTCTGTGTTCCCAATAGAAGAGCATGGGGATCGAGAGCTTGTACCGCTATTTACAGCTGTCCAGGAGCTGCATTTGAGACCAAAGTGAGATACCCACCCTTCCACACAATCTCCTCGAAGCATAACGGCCAGGGCAGTCCTCAGCCGCCGGGTTGAAGTATGACAAGTGGTTGGTGATGGGTTGAACAATTGCATGACACTTCTGTCTTCTGTGTTTACAATCGCAACAAACAGGCCTTGCCGACACCAAAAAAGAAAGACTTGTCTATTCAGTCACACCCAGGGTCACCATACCAGAATCAGAGAGCAAATCCATTGGGTTTTGACGGCCAGTTTCAGCTTCCATATATTTCAAGTCAAGGCGGGCTGAGGGCAAATGCGCGTACCGGAACATGCGTGTCACTTCCGCTTGCCCCGCAAACATCTCCACAAAGCGGAACCTTGTGGCATCCTCCTGCTACAGAATCGTATGTTTGGGTTCATCACTTCATTTGCATTAAATTGAAAGCCACTGGGAAATATGGTGCGCCAACCAACCAACAATCAACCAAACCATTGAGTCCTGCCAGCCTTTTGATGGATACTCTGTCCAGATCACCAAAAGCACTGCAAAGACAAGAACCTGTAGGGGCAGGAGCACATTGATTTGAACTTCATATTAGTTAGTCAACCCCCAGCAAGCTGAGCAACAGATCTCCCCAACCACTCAGGCTTGGCGATGAAAAAGACCCCCTCAACTCCCTCATCAATACATAAAACCTCAGGGTTTGGAGGGCTCACAGGGGACTTGTGGGGGTCTTTTCTCATGGCTAAGTCTGAACAGAACACTGGCCGCCCTGATGCTTTCCATCACACCTTGGGGGCCCCAAGAGCTTTCAAACGCCAGCACAGCTTGTTGACGAAATCCGAAGACCATGCCATGCCAACACTGTGCCTTCACAGCTGGTCAAGTATCACCCAAGTAAAGGGCAGTTGCACTTGTCGGCGCTGTGGAAAGTCAAAAACTTAGTCAATCAATATAGGTTGAAGAAGTCATGAACTCCATTCACAATACCATATGGATTCAATGCATGTCTTTGAAGTTGATCAGTTGATCCACAACAGCTTCCTTTGGAGGCATGGCAAATGACCAAGCGGAAGTCCAGAGGCTAAGACATTCATATTGGTGTGTGTGTGCCACCCACGCAGTCTCATGTACAACTCCAGAGTGTTGTCCAAGAGCGCAACCAAAAGAATCTATTTATGTGTATCATTTTCACATGTATTGCATTTATTTTTAATATGATTATTCACCCAAAGGTGGAATGCAAGCAATGCCCTAAAGTGGAAACAAACACAAAAACACGCAACCCAGCCATAAACAGGTAGGGTGCACTGCTCTCATCCTCGTCAAGTCCCATCTTGACAGCCCATCGGTTGCCTCGTAGCCCAGGCATTGGCCGGCCCAACCTCAGAGCACGGCACTGTGTCTTGGAATGAAAAGGCACCAGGGAGTTGCTGGACACATCGGGCTCAATGACTAAAGCACACCAAACTGACAGATGGGGCCTTAAGCTCAACCACACCTAGTTTCCCACATTTCATGGCCCCCAAAAGCAGATTGCAATGACTCACTTGCAGCCACTGCCACCCTATTTTCCACAGTGGCTCAACAAGATTTGAAGCGAGGTTTTCCCCACGTCGGGCCTGATTGCCATCTTGGGACCAGCTCCCCACCTTTGTTTGATGTAGGCCAGCTGGGCATTGTACAGGCAGGCTGCACCAACAGGAATTAAACACTATGTTCACCAAGGAAAAAAGTCTCGAGAAATGCACGAAACAATCATTTTATACCTCAGAAATCCTGAAATCATTCACGGTTGTGGTTTAACTAATATATAAGTGTTGAGAGTCAAGAGTGGCAACACATTGGCAACAGCAAAATGAATCACGTTCAACTGCCTGTACCCCCGGTTCCCAAGCTAAGGCAAATTGGCCCACCCCGTGTGGATACGAGCCAGGCAAACAAGACCGAGCGAAGCTGGTCTGCACTACATTGCACCGTTCACACAGCATTCACATCTATGCGTTGAAACCAACTATAGCGAAACATTTGGAACTATCATTGATGCAACACGCAGTCTTGAAAGAACCAGCCACCCCAGTCACTTCTTGCTCGGTTTAAACTTTGTTGCAGCAACACTCACATTGTACTTGACCGAAAAGATGTGAGTCTGGACTTTCCCTGTGGGATCCTCGAAGTTCTTCAAGTCCTTCTCAGAGATTTGCTCCAGCCACGAAGCCTGAGACAAACAAGAGGCATTGGGTTCCGTGATCAGAACAGAAAAAGGTTTGAGGCAGAAGGGATGGCACCGAGCAGGAATCGAAGCAACCAGTTTTAACAGGTTTTTATACTTCCAGCCCCAATTATTCACAAAGGATGGAGCCCTGAAAGCATCAGAGGAATTGAATGAGTCTTGTAAGCTTTGAAGGGTACTCTAGATTGCCTGAACCTTGGAAGGTGCAGGGTGATTTTCCCAAAGCCATATATACGGTATTTATTATGTTTACATATTTATACGTCAGCAAAGTCACCGTCAAAGAAGCCGAGATGTACACCAGGGCCATGTTGAAGTTCCATCCAGGTGGAGAAGTGCCGTAGGCTTTGAAGTAAGCGACCATGGGGGCATTCTTCCCGCTGCCATCTCCGAGAGAGGCAACTTTGACACCACATGCTGGCCGACTCCAATACTCATCAAGCTTGAACTCCTTCTTCTTACTGCCGAGGTGCTCTCTCAGGTACGCCTTCACCTCATCATAGGTCATGTACTCCACAATCCTCAAATATTGCAGGCAGATTCCTTGGATCATTGCATCCTCCTCTGGAGTTTGGTGCATCACAGCATCCTCTGCCTTCTTTCTCCGGGCCCTTTCCTTCTTGGCAAAGGGAGACAGCTTGACAGCTTTTTCTTTGGCCTTTCCACCTTTTGCAGAAGCTTTTGCACCAGTTGGTGGCTGCTCAGAAGGCTTTTCACCCTGCGCCCTCATGTGAGCATCAGGCTTGCAGGTCTCAAGGATGTTCTTGAGAGGCCGAACTTTGCCTGACTTCCCATCATAGCGTTCAGTCTCATGGCTTTCTCCATCTTCCTCCTCATCCGATTGAAAGAGGCGTTTCTTTGGGGTCAGAACCTCATCATCACCAGCCCCAACTTCATGAGATTGAGCCCTGCACTTGGGGCCAGCTTTTGGTTTGGCCTTGGCTTTGCTTTTCGCTGCCCTCTTCTCTTTGGGCTCAGCTTTGGCTTCCACACGAGGCCTCTTGCAAGGTGGCTCCTCCTCATCTTCCTTTCCATCTTCTTTTGATTCTTTTGGCCGAGCCGCATCCCCTTTCTCCACATCCTCAGTCCTCATCTTCCTAAGCCGTCGCCGAGGCTCCTCCACCTTCTGCAGCGCTGGGTCCTCCTTTTCCTCATTCTCCTTCCCATCAGGATCATCTTTTCCATTGTTTTTCTTCGATGACTTGGACTTCGCCTTGGCCTTACCCTCAGCAGCCTTCGCGGCCTTGGCTGCGGCCTTGGCTGCGGCCTTGGCTGCGGCCTTAGCTGCAGCTTTTTCTTTTTTCTCAGCAGCCTTGTCCAACTTAGCCTGCTCTTTTGCTGCTTTCTTCTCCTCCTGTTCCTTTTTCTTTTCTGCAATCTTGTTTTCCTTCATCTTCAGCTGGTCACGACGGGTCAAGACGGCGTCTAGAGTTTGGGCCTCCTGGCGCAGGTGAGTCAGGTTGTCAAAGGCCATGTTGAAGTTTGGAACAATGATCCACAGAAAAACAATTGCACTTGTCACTGAAACAAGTGCACAGGTGAGAACATACAATCTCTGAAAATCACAGGACAGGGAATGCTTTTTAAATGGTTGTAAACAACACATCAAACAAGGTCCCCTTCATTTGTTCCTTCTCTCAACAATGAAAGCAACTGTTCTAGGAACCCATCCTCCTTGCTGTCATCCTCATGGCCGGCCTCTGCGATGGGCATAGTCATGTCAAAGCCAACAAGCTTTGCATCGGTCATTGGCTGCGTCTCATCCGTGTCCCACCCAACTGGAACAGGTAGCTTTGGAGCGGGTCCTATGGCAGTGTTTAGATTGACGCAGTGTAAACTAAAGTTCAAGTCATGTGAAGCTTAATCAGGTTCACCCAAGGAAGATCCAATGTAATGTACAGCACACCATACATCAAGTGCTGGGGAAACAAAAACACTAGTTTGTTGAGCCCCTGGTCCTTGATCAAAGCGCTGCGCTTTCTCTCGAGCATTCCTAAGTGGAGCGGACTGAAGCCCAAGAACTTAGAGACTTAGAGGTCACCTGATAGTTAGTCCCAAAGTTTCTGTCCAAAAACATGGGTCCCACATTGGCGGATAGCACCGCAATACATTAGGCTCTATCCACACTCTTTCATTGACCAACACACCACGGCCGAGCCCATGAAACTAAGGAAAGCATCTCCGAGACCTTCATCTTCACATTCCTCAACCTTTCTGCAATCAGCTCACGCGCTGCTTTGAGACGACTGGAAAGCTCTGCGCCTGGGCTGTGCACTAGCTTCAGGTTTCAGATTGGGGTTGGTTAGGGAAACATTGGCAAAGCCATTGGAAAGTAAATTTGACAAAGGGTTGAACATAGAACAGCTTACTTTAGCACATGTTGAGATTCTCGGGATCGTTGGGCTTGGATCCTCTGGTTTGGCTGAAGCAGCGGGACTGGTAGTAGGGATGTCCGATTGAGCCTCATCCAACCACTTCTTGAAATCTGCAAACTCCTTCTTGCTTGTTTCATCCAAGCCATCAGCGTTGTTGTCCTCATCATCCTCATCGTCATCATCCCCAATTGACGACGACGCGGTGCTGGACCGGCGACATGAAGCCAAGTAGGTTTCAATGACCTCCTGAGGGGATGACTTAGTCCAACCTTCCAAACACTTCCACATCCAACCATGCCCCTAGTGGCAACAATACCTATGGAGCACATGCACTTTGTTTGGGTAAATCCTCCAACCCACCCCAGTCCTTCATGTCAGGATCAAAGGCCAAAATCAGCTCATGGAAGGATGGGTCCTGACAGGGTGGTTTCCATAAAGCCTCCTAGCTGACCCTTTCAGTGTCCCAAAATGAATTGTTTCAAAAGCTCTACAAAAACCAACACCAATTGAGATGAGTTCCATAATCTAACCCTGGCCCCTTTCCTTGGTCACCTCCTTCCTGCCAGAGCGCCGCTTTACAAACCCAGCCAGCTTCTTAAGCTCCACACTGGTCTTGTAGGCCAACTTTTCCCCAACACCAACTCCACACTTTTGAAGCAAAGTGGTGACTTCATTGGTCAAGTCTTCCAAGTGTGGGAGGCTTCTTTGGGGTGTTCGTTGAAGGCGCTGCAATATGGGCATCAGGACAATTCGATTGTTCACCGCATTAGGGCGGTTGGGCTTACAATACTTGTCACTTTCTGCATGGGTCAAGATCCGCTTCTCCTCTCTGACACGGGTCCGAAGCTCCACATTGGCTTCCCATTCAGCAGCAAGCCCAATGCAATCCATGTCCAAAAGGCTTCCACTTTTGGTGAACAGGGATTTTGAATCAAAAAGGCTTTGGCACACGGAGGCCCAGGATAAGCAACATCCAGGTGTCAAAAACAAAGCCAATCTTTGGGGTGACTGCTTAGTGCAACCCCTTAAAATAATCCCTTCAAAGTTCACCAAGTACTGCCTGCATTCCCAGGTGACACCCCACTGCGCGGAGCGGAAAAATGGGGATCCCGGCTGGCCGAATCACCAGGGAAGATCTCCACATGCACACCATCACATGCCCAGCACGGGGCAGCGGTGCGGAGGTTTAAGCTGGGATTGAGGATCCAAAGCAAAAGTTTATGAGTGCATGTTGATCAAATTGAGGGTGGATCCACAGCACAAAGTTCTTGGAGGGATTTCAACATTGCAGGGATTCCATCATGAACCTCATGTCTCAATTTCATATGACATGACCCGACTTTGGGCCATGAATTGCCAACCTCGCACCCACTGGATCTGGTTCCTATGGGATTGTATTCAAACAAGTCTTCCAAGGACATGTTGAAAATAGGGTCCCTAAAAAATAGACAACTATTTTTAATAATAGACAACTATTTGGTCCACTCCAACAAAATAGTCAACTATTGTTTTTCCACCCCACAAAAAAGTGGGTAGAAGGTTCAGTAGGTATATATATATCCTCTGCATGCGGCCCGAGTTCGTTCAGTGACTCTTCGGTATTTAGGTGCCCATTTCGCTTCGAACCTCTGAAACCCGACTCCATCGACCAGGACAGAAAGTCGCCCACACTTTGGGGGACACCCCTCAGCCCCATAAGCCTAAGCCTTCACTCACCTCTAAGAACCAGGCCAATACCAGGGGTCACGTTCGACGGTTTTTTTTTTGTCCCATCCAGGGGCCGTGGATGTGACAGGGGCACCCCTATCCTCCAAGTTCGGCACCCCGTCGAACGTGACTCCTGGTATACAAACATGCCGATTTGAGCCGAGGGCTTGACCTGTAGGGGAAGATGTACTTGCATGCTACCAATGGCCCCACCCCACTGTATGTCAATAGTGCCAGATCTATACCAGGACCCTCCAAAAGCTGACGTCATTCTCGTCTCTGAGAGGTGAGTGGTGCCCCAAACACCCACCGGAACTTGCGCCTAGCCGGGCCCTGGAACCGGTGCCGTGTCTCGGAAAAAGAAACACCGGCGCCGAGTCTCTTCGCCTCGCTGAGACATGGTGCTACGACGCGTCCGTCGTTTGGACGATCGAGCGGTCCGAGAGACCTGACGAAGCGGCGCGGGATGGACCCCGGGACACACCCAGCCATCCCAAAACCAGCTGTGCTCGCAGCTTTGGCAGGAACATTCGGTTGCTATGACCCGTTTGCAACCGAATGTCATGAGCTCCTCTCCGACTTCGACCCCAAGATGGAGACGGTCAAGACCAACGAAGCACAATTCCACCAAGCACCATAAGTTCCACCAGTCCCAATGTGGGTCACCGAGTCTGGGATGGTCAAGCTCTGCAGAGAGCTGCAGTTCTGAAAGGTTCTGTCCCTGATGCAGCTCAATGAGCTTGAGATGGTGAAGCTCGTCAGAGAGCTGCAACTCTGAAAAGCACCCTCTCCGAGGTGGGCCACTGAGTCTGGGATGGTCAAGCTTGCTAAAGAGCTGCAATTCCGAAAAGCCTCGGCCTCAATGTGGGTCACAGAGTCGGGGATGGTGAACCTTGTCAAGGGTTTGCAGTTCTTCAAGGCACCCCTCCCAATGTATGTCACTGAGTCCGGGATGGTTAAATTTGCCAAGGAGGTGCGATTCGCAAAGGCATCCTCCCCAATGTGGGTCACTGAGTTTGAGATGGTCAAGTCTGCCAAAGAGCTGCACTTGGCGAAGGTACCTTTCCCAATGTGAGTCGCTGAATCTGGTATGGTAAAGTTCGCCAAGGAGGTGCAATTCGCAAAGGCATCCTCCCCAATGTGGGTCACTGAGATTGGGATGGTCAAATTCGCCAAGGACCTGCAATTGGCAAAACAACCATTCCCAAGGCGGGTCACTGAATCCGGGATGGTCACGTCAGCCAAGGATTTGCAACCGTCGAAGGCGCCATCCCCGATGCAGGTCACTGAGTTGGGGATGGCCAGTCTCGCTAAAGAACTGCAAAGCCTGAAAACACCAGCCCCAATGCTGGTCAATGAGTTTGGAATGGCCACTTCTACCAAAGAGCTGCAACAATTGAAGGCTAAATCTCCAATGTGGGTCACTGAGTTTGGAATGACCACGTCTACCAAAGAGCTGCACTTCGTAAAGGCAAAGTCTCCTATGTGGGTCAGTGAATCTGGAATGCTCAGTTTGGCCAACACTTTGCAGTCTCGGAAGGCAAACTTTGCAATTTCAGTTGTGTGGGCGGGGAGTTCAACCACCAGAAGTTCTGAAGCGCTCCCTTGGCCAACTCTGACACACTGGAGCAGGTCACAGTGTTTGGTTTGAAAATCACACTCATGAGTCCCACATCTGCCACGGGTTCATCATTGCGCAGTAACCGGTCCCCAACCAGAATCTCTATGATCGTCGTTCGACAAGTCACCTCGTCCCAGGTCAGTTGCCGCTCGTCCCGGATCTTCTGCTTGAGCTCTCGACCAGTCGTCCCTGGCATGACCTCGAGATCAAGCATTTCACCATTGACCTGCAGCAGTGAAAGTCTCAGCGCCATGGCTGAGCTACGAGCACTTGGGCAGTTTTCTTCCAGTGATCTATGATCTATAGGTGCCAATGTCTGCTGTGGACTTGCTCGCAGTAGACTTGCCATCCACAACCTGCGATGTCCAGGGGAGGTATAGGGGAGGTACCAATTTATACCGGCATATCAGTTGTACACGACCAGTGGCATCCCCTCATTTAATCCACCAACCAATATAATATTAGTCCAACCCCCTTGATGGCGCGCGCCCCCAGCGGATCCCGGATCAAAGTGAAGACCCGCCAGCTCCACTGGCTCCGCTGTGGCATGGCCCAGCTCCGCTTGTCGGGGAGGGAGAGGGAGGAACACAGGACACCCGCAGCGTCGTTTGCTGAGCTATGAAGGGACTTGGGAGGGGCGTCAGTCCTAATGTAGACTCTTGATTCATAAACCCCCCCCATATGAAGAGGATGTCCAATCCAAATTTGGTGGGGTTATTAATCCCCCAGGGATCCAGTCGTACCTTCTCAGGTACGGTGAGGACGGAGACTATTGATGTAGGCGCCAGCCAGTCGGGCCCAGTCGTACCTCCTGAAAAGGTATGTGGATCCTTAGGGATCAAGAGTCTACAATTCTATAACTTCGGTCCTCACTTGGAAGACTTCGGGGGTGTTTCGTGTTTCCACCACCTCTTCAGGGAGAAGAGTCGGTCAGGACGTGGACCTCAGCTGGACGTCCCGCGCCCAAGCGGTCGCCACCGGTCGCCGGTCGCCACCGTGTCCGCCGTCCGCCGCCCCCCCGTCCTTCGGCTTCGGCTTCGGCTTGGGCTTCCTCGGCGCCTTGTTGGGCTGAGACCGTCACCCCAGTACTGCCGACCGCTGGTCAGCCAAACGGCAGGTCAGAACAGCCAGGTCAGCTAACCCCTCCCCCAAAAAAGGTTGGCCACCTTGATCATGAAAACGCCACCGTCATGAGGTGACCTCGTGCCTTTTCTCAGTTCAACCCTGCCCTATAGTCCTCGGTGTTTGGTCCAGTGTCCGGCGCTTTCAACTGAAGCACCGCACCTCCGCCTCCGCAGCATCGGCCGACCCCGCCGCTTCCGCCGCGCCGCGGGGAATAGCGGCGGACCCCGCCGCTTCCGCGGGTGCGTCGGCCGGCACGAGCCTGGGCGAACAGAAACGGAAGGAGTCGGACCCGGACAACATCTGGGGTACCGTAACTGGGGGTTTTTCGGAAATATATAGGGTTCTTGAACCTCGGGACTGAGAAGCAGGAACAAAGGCAGCAACAATGGCAGTCGGTCGTAGCCGTAGTTGTAACTTAGTGGGTCCCGGTCCTGGTCCCGATGGATCTGGGTGGCTTCGCTGTCTAAGGACGATCACCATTTGGTCCAAACGTGTCCCAGACTCGGCTGGAGTGGAGCAATCTGAAGCACGGTTTTGACTTCAACGCCCTTCTGAAGCTCCATGATTGACTCAGTTCATCTCCTTTCCCCACCGACCCGCACTCACAATCCACCACTATCAGTTAGGGGTAGACTCAAAAAGATTGAAGAAGTATTCCAAAAGGTAAAAAGACTGGATTTACGTGCCTGGACCTTCTTGAAAGGGAGGGGTGTCCTGGCTGGAGGTCCCTTAGTGGTGTAATTAGGGGCGGCTGTTCGCCAGGTGACCCCGAGGTCCTGAAGATGCTGGATATCATATACTCATGCTCTACGACCTCACCGCCTCCTTGCTCCACCGCCCTCGCAGCCTCCTTGCTCCACCGAGCCGCTCGCGCAGCCGCACGGCCGACGCGCCCAGCGCCGCCAGGCCGCGCTGCTGGACGCGGCGCGCGGCCGCGCTGGGCGCGGAGGGGGCGGAGGCCTCCGTCTCCTGGGCGGAGGACATCGGAGGACTTCGAGAGTTCGAGCGAACCTTCCAGATTATAGCCTCATCCAAAGCCAAGGTCCTAATACCAGGACCCTCCTGGCCAGGCCGTTTGGAGACCCTGACAGGTGGTGAACCTGGGCATCGGTTGTCACCAGAGAGCACCGAACTTGGTCGCTGCATTTTTGACCCGTCTTTGCTCCAGTGTGTCAGTAAGTGTCTTCTGCTTTTTGATGAATGAGTGTGTTCATCGTGGTTCCGGTTTGTCCTGTCTTCCAATCTTTCATGCCTTGTGTGCTGCAGAGTCATGTTCTCGACATGCTGCTGCTGAGTGGTGCGCACGCCGCTGCTTGGTTGGGAGAAGAGCTCTTCCCTGGTGAGAATGGTGTCAATGGTCAGTAGTGCCAGTAGAGGTCCGTAGAGGCATGTTGAGTGTCTGGCCATGAAAGACCAAACAATTCCATGCAAGTTGTTC